GGAGGCTGAGGCAGGAGGATCGCTTGAGCCCAGGAGTCTGAGGTTGCTGTGAGCTAGGATGACGCCACGGCACTCACTCTAGCCAGGGCAACAGAGTGAGACTCTGTCTCAAAAAAAAAAAAAAAACTTATTTGTTGTTTTCCTGAAATTCAAATTTTACTGAGTGACCTATATTTTATCTGCAAGGCAACCCTATCATGTGGCTTTTCTCACTATCATTTTATTGGTAAGAGGGGGTCGTGTGCCAGCTGAGATTTCCCAGGGAGGGGCCTCCTGTGTCTGTGTGGGAAGAGCCCCCTGCTCGTCTTGCTGGGGTCCAAGCGTGCTCCTGGCCCACATTACCCTGGCGGTTCTGGGACTGAGCACTCAGGAGTCCCCTGCCCTTCTCCTCCCCCCCATTGCAGGCCGGGGCGCATGCTGGCGAACACGCCCTCTCTACTAATAAACGTATCTAAGAGCCTTCCCCACCCGCGAACTGTGCCTCTGCACACCTTCCGCCAGTTGCCTGACACGCTCAGTGTTTGGTCTGTGGCTTCTCCTATCCAATGTTCCTAGTGGTGACGCTCCTTCGACCTTTGCGGCGGCTCTGAGAGGGAGGCTCCCGCCACTTCCACAGAGCGCTGAAGCCGGCGAGTGCTCCCGCCTCGCAACACCCAGGCTGCTTGGCCCGTTGGGAGCAACAGTCGGTGTCTGGACATTGTGGCTTGTTAACTTGCTCGTCAGGCGTGTAATTTTCACGGAGCCTCTGACCTACCGTCTTCTGATGGCAGGAGAGAGGGGCAGCCCACGGGCATCTTCTCCAGCCACTCAGGGTGCAGGTGGAAGACTGCGGCCGAGTTGAAAAGGGGCCTCTCGAGAGAGGTGGTGCTGGCTGGTGAGGTTACATGGAGGGCGAGGCCGAGGAAGGGGGTGTTTTCAGTAGCTTCACTCGGGTTTCCTGGGCCTCTGCTATGTGCCAGGTGCTACTCTAAAGACAGAAGATACATACGGTTGTGAGCAGGATGGACAATGATGTTTGTTGACTTTTCAGCAGGTGAGACAGATTGAAAACTATGTGAGCAGGGCTATGTCTATGCTGTGAGCTGCGAGGAAGTCTGAGAGTGGATGACGCGGCGGGGAGTGAGCGGAGGGAGTGGGACGGTCTCTCTCCGAGGAGAGATCTGAGCTTCGGCCTGGAGGATTAGAAGCAGCCAGCCGTGGGAAGGGCGTGGGGGCTTCCAGCTGGTGGAAACAGCACGTGCAAAGGCCCTGGCGTGAGAAAAGCCAGCTGGCGGGGCAAAGCGGTGTGGAAGACCCGGCTAAGGGATCGGGTGTCTAGTCTGTGCAGGCCCCGCAGGGTTGGGAGGCTGAGGATGGGCGTGTACATTCAAACGTAGCCCCCGGAGCCAGGGCTGCACTGTTCCTTCCTCCATTGAAAAATATATGAAAAATTCAACTTTCACCTTGGTATAAACATGAATATAATCTGGGCTGGATTAATGACTATTATGTTCATTATTACTTTATTATTTTCCTCTGATATTACAAGAATTCAAAATCAGAACATATTCATGAGCCCTTGCAGATGTCATGGGCCCTGAGCCTCCCACGCCTAATGGCCTGAGGCATCTTGGCCAGACCCCAGAGACTGGCCCCTGCCAACCCACCATGTCACCCTTCCGTCCCCAGCTTCTTCGAGCCCTCAGGAAGGTGCATTTCAAGACCCCCGATGGGACAGAGATCATGTTTGATGCCAACGGAGATTTAGTTACAGAGTTTGATATTCTACGTGGGCAGAAGACCGCGGAGGGTCCATTCCACTTTGTCCGCATAGGCACGATCAACCCCAGAACCTCTTTGGGGGACAGAGTGACAATCCACTTGATGAAGGAGGAGCTCCAGGTGAGTTCCCTGGGTGCACAGACGACCCGGGTCCTGGTGTATTAGAGTCGGGGAAACACAGAGGCCGGTGGTCGATGTCCTTGTTTGATGCGTGGAGCGGATCTGACTCCAGATTGAGCGCGTCATAACTCGGAGGCCGCTTAGCCGTGAGGGGAGAGAGCATTTACTCACCACTAAAAGTCAAAATATTAGAGCTACAGAAGTTAAATTAGAATTTGCATCAGGAGTTTCTCGTAGAGTATTTTCCGTCGTGTCTGTATTTAAGGATCTGCTGAGTGGAAAGGCAGATAGTTTACCTGGGAAGACGGCAATACTCTTCACCAAACGTTCCCGTGGAGATTCTCAAAGACGGGCAGGACGAGCGTTCTCCTTTTATTTATTAACAAATTCAGTTGCTGTCTTGGGACAGGCGTGTCTGGGTGTCCACTCCAGCCCATAGACACACCCGTCCCTCTGGCCGCCATTAGTGGACATGTGGCCCCCTGCACTGCAACCTTGCTTTCCTCGTGCTTGGGACGCCTGCAGTGTTGGCCTTCGGGTGTTCCAGGTGAGAATCAGGCTCCCAGCTCTGCACCCCGCAAACCCAGGGGACACAGGATAAGTGTTCAGAGGATTCTCTTGAAGTCCCTTCCAATTGGCTTGAGCTGGGAAGGGCCTTCTTCTCCCTTCTGAGGGTGGGAGAAACCTAGCATTCCGCACTTCCCTCCAAGGCATTCTCACCCCCTTCCTCCCTCCGACTCTTGCCTGGAGGTGGGAGGGAGGCTGAGGGAGGCAGAACCGCCCCTGGTCAGGCCGCTGGTGGTACAATGCGAGGCCGTGTGTGTATGTGGGGTCAGCACCTGCAATTTTGGATGCAGGAGTCTCAAAGAGACGGGAAAGGCGCCATTTCACACTGAGACTAAGCTTTCCCACCATCAGCCAGCTGAGCCAGGTGGAGCCCCTTCCAAGGATCTGCTCATTTGCTGCATTTATGGGAGCCTCTCCAGGCTGCCTGCTCTACGTAACTGCGACGATTTTTCCCCCAAAAGCAGCCTCATCCTGTGGGTGGCAAGGACACCGGATTGCTTCTCTGGGCTGGTTCAGGACAGGACATGTGCCCTGTGCCCTGGGCCAGTCAATGATCACACCCCTGCTGGTCTGTCCCCAGGTCCCCAGCTCTGTCTGCAGCAGGAGTTGTGCTCCAGGGTCCAGCCAGATCCCCCGACCAGGGTTCCCACATTGCTGTTTCGAGTGCAGCCGCTGCCCGGAGGGACAGTTTGCAGACCACACAGGTGAGGGCTTGTGGAGGCTGAATCCTGAGGGGCCATCAAAGCACCCACAGCCTCTCAAATTCCCGATCCAGTTGACTTGCTGCACAATCTCCAGCCTTCTGTGGACTTTGGACATGGGAGTGCTGGCTAGGAGGCCACTGTTACAAGTGCTTTTAGGTAAATGTTTTATTGAATTACACAGATAAATGCATGGGTTGTAAGTGTGCAGCCTGATGAATCCTCCCCTAACAAATACTCAGCGTCCCTGGTCCCCCTCATTGAGAAACAGCGTGACCTGCCCCCAGAAGGCCCTCGTGCCCCTTCCGGTCATTGCCCTGCCCCTGTGGCCAGCATCCTGGCTTCTGTTGGCTTCAATGAGTTTTGCTTGTTTTTTAACCTCCTATAAGTGGAATCACACGCTGAGCATCCCTTTGATTCTCACTGTTCCCTCCGCGTTATGTCTGTGGGAGTCACTGCAGTGGTCGCGCGTAGCCGTGGCTCTCGTGCTCTCCTCCTCGGCAAGATTCCAGCGTGTGCACAGGCCACGGCTTCTTCCTCCGTTCCGACAGGGAGAGGGGTTGGGAAGTTTCCTGATCAGGGGCTGTAATGAGCAGTGCTGCTGCGTCTTTTGGGGAGACATGGACGAGTTTCCGTTGGGCATGGCATTGCTGGGCCACAGGTAGACGCACACTCAGCCTGAACAGATGCTGGTGGTTGTCCCAGTTCACGTTCCCACCGCAAGTGTGCGCGATGCCCAGCTGCCCCTGTATTAGTTTCCTGTTGCTGCTGTAACAAATTACGACCCGCTTATTGGCTTAAAGCAACACACGTTTATTATCTCACAGTTTGTACAAAGTGTGAGTGCAGCGTGCTTCAGCTGGGTGTACTGCTTGGGGTCCCACGAGGCATTAAGGCGTTGGGAAGACTGTGCCCCTTCGTGGAGGCTCTGAGGAAGAATCTGCCTCCAAGCTCGTGCAGCTTGTTGGCAGGATTCAGTTCCCTGCGGTTGTCAGACTAGGACCCCATTTCCATGAGGGCTGTCATCAGAGGTCATTCTCAGCTTCCAGAAGCTGCCCGAATTCCTTGCCTCACGGACTCCCTCCATCTTCAAAGCCGGCAGTGTGGATCCCATCCCTCATGCTTCCTCTTTCTCCTGCCTCTTTTTCTGCCACATTTCTCTGCTTTCGCCTTCTTCCTTCCTTCCCCAATTTAAGGGCCCATGCAATGACACTGGACCCACCCAGACAATTCAGGATAGTCTCCCCGTCTCAAGATCCTCACCTTAATCACACCTGAAGGGTCTCTTGCAGGTGCGGTGACATTCACAGGTTCCACGGCTTAGACATCTCTGGGGAGGGGCGTTATTCTGCCTGCCACGGTGCCCGTTCTTCCCGGCCATCAAGTTCTGAGTCTTCACTTCAGCCATTTGGTGGGGCCATAGAGCTTCCTCACTGTAGTTCAGAGCAGTAATTTTAAACAATTCCTAAAGGATGGGTGGCAGAGTTGGTGAGAATCTCTGTATCGGTTTGCACGGGCTGCCATTACAAAATGCCACAGCCCAGGTGGTTTAGAGAACAGACATTTATTTTCTCACAGTTCTGGAGGCTAAAAGTCTGAGATCAAGGTGATGGCAGGTTTGGTTTCTTCTGAGCCTCTCTCTTTGACTTGCAGATGGGTGCCTTCTTGCTCTTCCTCCCAGGTCTTCCTTCTGTGTATACCTGTGGCCTAATCTTATAAAGACACTAGTCATATTGAATTAGGGCCCACCCTAAAGACCTCATTTAACCTTAATTACCTCATATCCAATTTATCTATCTCCAAAGAAAGTCACATTCTAAGGTCCTGGCGGTTAGGACGTCAACATATGAATTTTAGGGGGACACAACTCAGCCCATAACAATTGCCAATAAGAATAGTTACTGGCCGGGCGCGGTGGCTCACGCCTGTAATCCTAGCACTCTGGGAGGCCGAGGTGGGCGGATTGTTTGAGCTCAGGAGTTCGAAAGAGCGAGACTCCATCTCTACCAAAAATAGAAAGAAATTAATCGGACAACTAAAGATATATAGAAAAATTAGCCGGGCATGGTGGCGCATGCCTGTAGTCCCAGCTACT